AAATTATAATATATGACGGTACTAGATAAAACTTTAGATTTACCGAGTACAATATATTTCCTATTTATTATTTTGTATATTTTTATTTTTAATCGTTCCTGTAAGATTATAATTGTTATAAACTAGGTAAGTATAGGTACTCTATAGGTTTTCTAAGAAATATATTTTTATAATTTAAATATCATATAATTATTTTAATCGTAGAAGTAGGTGTGTTTTTTAGATAACTAGATAAGTGAGGCTATGTTATTTTATGGTGTCACGTGTAAAACGTGGCTKATATTTTTTTTTAATCAAAAGTAATTATTGTCTGATAGGTACCTAAATATTTTTAAACCACCAAATTCTGTTTAGAAAAATTATATTTTTGCACAGCAAAAAATCCGTTTTTTCAGTTGTATAATCCTAATAAACTTCAAGTAGGTAAATCGGTGACTTGAATTCGGTCGACAGCCGTATATAATAAAGTTGCTCATAGCCTGTTTCCCTGTCCCAAAATATCGTACATCGTTTGCGCATTGTCTGTTTACCTGCACCAAATTATAACTGTTTATCCGGGGTTGGTAAATTGAGTCCCAAATGACCCTAACTCGGTAAATTGAGTCCCGGGGAAAAATAGGTAGTAGGAAAGTTGAGTCCCAGATAAAATAAGGTAGTAGGTAATTTGAGTMCCAGGGAAAAACGATTTATATGCATTTAAAATTTAAAAATGTGCACTATACAATTTTTATTTGTGATTTGTGGRMWTTCATTGACAGCATGTATATGATTTTGAAAATAGCAACATGCACTTTTATTGCATAAAAAATAATTATATAATTAATAAAAATGCAATAAAAATGCATGTTGTTATATTCAAAATCATATACATGCTGTCAATGAATGTTCGCAAATCACAAATAAAAATTGTATAGTGCACATTTTTAAATTTTAAATGCATATAAATCGTTTTTCCCTGGGACTCAAATTGCCTACTGCCTTATTTTTTCCGGGACTCAACTTACCTACTACCTATTTTT